GGCGCGGGGGGGCTGCTAAGGCTCCATGTCCCCTCCTCAGGCGACTCGGCGTCTGTCTCAGGGCACCATGCTGCCTGGCGCCGGCGGTGCGAGATGCCCTTTCTCCTGGAGGGAGAGGAAGAAAAACGTGTCCCTTGAGCAAGTGAAACACAGGTTAAAAAGTAACTTGACGGGAAGTGGGAGCCTTTCTTTCAGAGGCTAGTCCCATCCGCAGACCCGTGTCATTCCCTCGGCCCCGAGGGCAGAGCAGGCTCCCTCCCGGGGTCCCGGGCACAGGGCCGGGCAGTGTCCCTGCCGAGGTGGGTGCCTCCCTTCCCCGGGCACAGTGGGGTCTGTGAGATGGGTTCTAGCACCGGGCTGGCCCTTTCCCTACAGTCAGAGAAGGCCAAACGAGGTGGGTGCAGCCCACACCGCTGGCTCCAGGGTTCGAGGGCTCGGAGAGGGAGGGATGAATCTCCAGCTGCCCAGGCAGGGGCTGGGTCCGCGGTAGGAGCAGCCTCGGCTGTGGCTCCAGCCCCCAGGGACAGGGCTTAGCACAGCGCCTCCGAGGGGGCACGCTCCCCGCCTGCACCCTCCTTCAATCCGCCCGGGACCCCAAATAAACAGACAATCATAAATAAAACACGCAAGTGGCCATTCGTATATATGAGGCATTTTCGTGTAACTCAGGCAGGGGAGACCCTCCGTTTACTGAGCTGGGCGGCGTCGCTGAGCGAGCGGAGGAAGGGTGGGTGGAAGGAACGCGGGAGTCGCGCCCGGGGCCTCGGCCCTTTCGGGGAAGGGGCACCGGGCACCTGGGGGTCCTGGAGATGAGCGAGACGCCGTGAGCAGACACGCACCGGACTCAGGAAGAGCACCAGCTAAGAGCCCAGTTCAAAGCACTGGATTTCACCTGCTCTCCAAGAGGAGCAGGCAGACACGCCACGGCTGGCCACGGCTGGCCACGGCTGGCCACGGCTGGCCCGCAGCACTCAGCTGAGAGCGCCCTGCGCACAGGCGGGCTTCATCCCAGTGCGGCCGGGTTCACGCAACCCAGTCCGAGGTCCCTCCCTTATCTGAAGGCACCCTGAAATGCAGCTTCTGACCCACGTGTCACCTTTACTAACCAGAGGGACCTGGAGGGCCTGACTCCACCCTCTGCAGCCCCTGTGCTGTGGTGACAGCTCAGCCCACCCACCGTCCCCTTTCCCCCGGCTCTGCACGCGGCGTCCGGGCTGCGGGCCCACGGTGGGTGAGCGAGCGGCCCCAGCTTTGCATCCACACTGGGCACCTTGTGTTCAACACTGAGCTCCGCTAAGCCTCCGTTTCCTATCTGTAGCACGGAGTGGGGAGGGCACCGTCCTGCTTTGGCTTGTGTGAGGAATTCATGCTTAGAACAGGAGCTCCGTGCCGCTGTGCTCGCACCCCGGGCATTCGCAGCCCTGGTCCTGGCGTGGGGTTTAGTCTTGCCCCGGAGACCCCAGGCAGCTGCAGAAGGTTCCTGATTGAGAAAGAGAACTTTGGCTGCAGATGAGAAGGGGGGAAGCAGCAATGCCGTTATCTCTGAAAATGACTGACGCAGCTTAGGGGGAGGAACGCAGGTGGATGGCAAGGAGAGGGCACCTTGGGACCAGCCCTGCCATCCTCCAAGTCCGCCCTCAGCCGACACTGTGGGTGAGCCTGACGGGGCCGAGTTACCTGGGGCGGGGAGAGTCCTGGCCAACAGCTCGCTCGGGCACCTGCAGGACCCGGGAGCACCGGGAGGAGCCTGCAGGTTGGCGAGACGAGATGAGAGAAATGCCCCAGAGCGACAGATTCCTGGCTTCCAGGGGGCGGCCAGGGTGAAACCAGGGCGTAAGGGGTGGGCAGAACGAATCACAGACCCTGCAGTGTTTGGAGACTGATCATCATTTTTGTTTATTATTGATGGGGGGACAGAGTTATGACCCAGAGCCCGGGGAGAGACAGAAAGTGTTAACAGCTGTATGCAGAGATCTGCTTTCCTTTTAAAAACACAAAGATACCCTCACAGAGGCTGCCATTCAAGGGACAGATAAGCCACCAACTGTGCAGCCCTGGCCACTTATCAGCCGGAGCGCAGCCAAAGCGCTGAAGTCCCACTCCCTGGCGGCCAGAGCGCCGCCTGCCCGCTGAGCGTCAATGCCGTCATTCATGCTCGGTCTTCCACGGGAGGGAGGGGGCGTTTCGGCCCGTGGAGCTCAATGCCCTGGAGAAAGTCCAGAATGTGGCTTCTTCTCTGGTGGCAGTGGGAGACGGTCCTTAAACAAAGTCCCGACACCCACCAGCACCTTCATGGTGAGCACCGGGCACTGTCACCATTTGGAGATGGGCAGCTGGCCCTGCTGGACCAAGCCTGGCAGGCTCCCGGCCCAAATACAGTCAGACAGGGAGCTCTGCACCTCCACCAACTGCAGAGTCAGGCATTGAGGGTGCCTGGGGTCACTTGCCCAGGTAAGACTCCAGGAGGCGCTGGGGTCTCCCCAAACCCACAGGGATCACCAGGCCTTCCTCACCTGCAGCCTCTCACAGTCTCCATCAGGGCCCTCAATTTTCGCAAAGCTCTCCTCTCCGGTCGGGTCATCCCGGCTCTAAAACCCTCAGGGGGTTGCTTGCTGCTTTTAAACCAGCAAAGGTCAATTTTCAGGTCTATCCGCAGCGAATTAAGGCCCACGCTCACTACTTCTCAAGCGCCCACGCTCCAGCCTCTGCTCCAGGACACAAGCCCTCACCTGTGCTGCCAGGAAAACCTCTCTGCCTCTTCGTGCCCCACCCTCCCCCCACAGCACTGCAAACCCCGGTGAGTCACCTGCTGGCGTCAGATCTGCAGTCAATGTCCCCAAGCCTCAAATTCAAGGCTTATGAGCTCATGCGCCGCACCCCTCAAACCAGTCCTCCCTTTATTAGAAAAGTGATGTCGGGAGAAATGACACAATCTGCTTTATAAGGAGTTCTCGAAGGTCCACTATGCTATATTTTACTGAACATTACGTTATGACGACAAATATGTGTATTTATAAGTATTTAAATATATCACTATATTTACTATACATTATACTATTTTCCCTATTTATTTACTGTTACACATGGGCATGGTCGGGGTCCTGCTCAGCTGACAAGTGACCCCTGAACCTGGACCTCAGACCACCAAGGGCTCAGACTACTGAATGGCATCTCGAACCTCCCAGGTCCAAACCCAACTCTGGGGTTTGCCCCAAACCTCCTCTCCCACTTTCCACCTTCGCCATCTCCGTCAATCGTTGACTGGCTCATTCCACTGCCCACCGGCCCCCTGCCTCTTGACCCCTGACCTGAGTGGTCTGGGCAGTAACCCAAGTGGAAAGGTGACACGTGACTGGTGTCCCCTTTCAGGCACTCCCTCCCCTGCAAGAAAGGCCCAGGTTCCGGTTACAGGAGAGGACCAGCCCCACACAGAGAAACTCAACCCTTCCCCGCCACTGGGGCACTTCTCCTCTCAGCTGCACAGTCCCACCTCCAGGACTGTCGGTGTCCACTTGAAGCAGGAGACGGCTGTGCTGTCCCGTGTCCCCAAGGAGGGCACGCCCCATTGAAGGTACCAGGATGCCCTGGCCTCCTTGACCACTGTTCACTTGAATTCAACACCGAGTTCAGCTTGGGGGGACAGTGGTAGCTGTCTGGGCCCCCCAACAGGCCGTCTGGGTCAGTCATGAGGCCTGTGTGCAGGACCATGTGCCCTGGTCCCAGAGTCTGAGAAAGGTGGGTGTCTCCCAGGCAGGTACCACATTGCCTTGGTCAAGAGCCACTGAGCACCTACCTCTAGGATGAAGGCTGTGTCCACACCGGGGACAAAGGACACATGGAGCAGCTGTGGTCAGAGAACCACGTCTGGGAAAGACTGTAAGACTCAGAGGGGAATGAAGGTGCTCACACCCACACACACACACACACACACACACGCCGATCCTTATCTGCTCACCCAAAGCTGGTGACTCGAAACCACCCACAGGCTCCACGGGGACAGTGGGCAGAACCCTGCAGCTCTGGCCTG